TTACAAATGTAGTGAAGGATGTGAACATGACCTTCTCTGGAGCAGGCCAGAATCTAAAACCAGCCTGTGGGAAAAACCTCTGAAAGGCTTCTAGGTCACCCTCCCACACAAAGCATGAATTCCTCAGTCACTGACAGGTGGTCCTGCAGTCTTTGAGAGAGACAGATTATCTCCCACACAGAATGCTCTTTCTCTCTCAAGTCAACCCATTGCACTCCTGGTTAACTCCGGCTCTGAAAATATTTGAGCTGTTATTATATGACTCTTTTTCTGGCCCCAGCTTCATGTCAACACAATGAGTACAAAGCCTTTTCTAGCATAAAGACTTAGAATCACATGTTCCACTTGCTTTCACAACACACCCCACTCCTCAATTCCCATTCAATGAGTAGGCAATGAATCCAAGATATTAAGACATCTTCCCAATAGAAAGATGGACTTATTTTCATTAAAAAACTATTGAGCACAGACTCCTACAACCTTAAGAGCTGTGAAAAGGCCTTGGAAGCCATCTAATTCTACTCCTCTCCCCTCTATGGTAGGAATTGCTTCAATAACATCTCTGCAACACATTTGTGTCCCAGAATCTGAAGATGGGAGGGAATAAAAAGTCTCTTTAATGTGAAGTAGTTCTAAGTACAGTTTTTAAAAGTTATCTGTTAGTACATAGATTTGGTAGGTAACATGGTTTGATAGAAAAAGAACAAAAGTAATGTGTCATTTGGTTACTTTCTATTACTTCATGGTCTCTTGCTATATAATTTCCCAGTTGTAAGAAAGCTAAATTTGTTACCTACTAACAATAATTTTAAAATGTCTTTACAAAGATGTGAGCCACTAAAAATACCCATTATTTGGAAGCCCAAAATTAAATAGGTTCTTTAGCTTGTGAAGATCTTTTTAGAAGTATGACATACGAGGCACCTGAGTAGCTCAGTCAAGCGTCCACTCTTGATTTTAGGGTCGTGCATTCAAGCCCTGTGTTGGGCTCCATGCCAGCATGCAGTCTACTTTAATTAATGAATTAATGAATTAAAAGTATGGCATAGATGGACACTGACGCTTTACCCAGTCATTTACTCAACAAATAAGTACTAAGGGCCTACCTTATGTTGGACACTGTACTGGGCACTAGGAAAACAGTGAAAGCAGAAAACACATGGTCTCTCTTCTAAAGGAGCTTTGTTTATAGAAAAGACAGATTATCACCCAGAGAATTACAAATTGAGAAAAGTGCCAGAAAGGCAAAGTTCAGGATGCTATGAGAACATGTAGTAAGGAAAACTGATCTAGCCTGGGAATTCAAAGCAGGATATACAACGGAAGTGATGTTTAAGCTGGGATCTGAACGGTGGCCATTCACATTATGTAGAAACAGATCTCATAAAATGAAAGGGTTGGTCCAATAAACCCAGCTACCTTTCACATCTTTACCCTAAAACAACCTCTTTTTTTTAAAAAAGGAAAGCCGGGATGCCTGGGTGGCTCAGTTGTTAAGTGTCTGCCTTCGGCTCAAGTCATGATCCCAGCCAGGGTCCTGGGATCAAGCCCCGCATCGGGCTCCCTGCTTGGCGGGAAGCCTGCTTCTCCCTTTCCCACTCCCCCTGCTTGTGTTCCCTCTCTCACTGTCTCTCTCTCTCTCTCTCTCTGTCAAATAAATAAATAAATAAAATCTTTAAAAAAATAAAGTAAAAGAAAAAAGAAAAAAAGAAAAGCCAAGTACTCTATAAAAAGGTTTAAAGGCTAGGGGTGCCTGGGTGGCTCAGTCGGTTAAGCGTTTGCCTTTGGCTCAGGCCATGATCTTGGGGTCCTGGGATGGAGCCCCAAGTCTGGCTCCCTGCTCAGTGGGGAGTCTGCTTCTCCCTCTCCCTCTGCCGCACCCCCCTGCTTGTGCTCTCTTGCTCTTCCTCTCTCAAATAAATAAATAAAATCTTCAAAAAAAAAAAAGGCTTAAAGCCTAGGAATTGATAGTTCTTTGGAGAGAAGGATAGGGTCATACTCTACTGTAGACACCCCACCTGGTATAATTATCATCACTGTAGTCACTAAAATCTTTGCGAAAATGATTAGTGTCAGTATTAAATCAATGCTCATATTATCTTCAGTTAAGCAAAATAAATTCATAAAACTACATTTCCTTACACAAGAAACTCCATTCCGAACTTCAACTGTGAAAAGAAGATGCTTTCTTGTACCTCACAGGATTGCTATCAAGATTCGATGAGAAAATATATGGCAAAATGCTGGGGCAGATCTTGAAATGGTTGGAGGATATGGCATCCGTGCGATCAAAAAGCTTGATCGGTCCCTTCTCACTATGACAGTTCTTTAGATTCAGCTTGCTTCATTTTCCTGACCATGAGAAGAAAAAAAAAAAAAAACTGTAACACAGGTTGCACTCTTTCTCTAGCCTTGGTTTTCTCCATGAGGGTGAGACTGCAAAACTCAAAGGTCCCCTCTAGCTCTAGAAACTGACCTGCACATCTTTTTAAAGGGCCAAGAATACACTCCTTGCCTCACATTTGAGACTACCTCCTCAACCACTCCATTCCCCCATGACTCCATACTTCCTCTCAGGAATGGCAGCACATAGTTCATGACTTAAGTTTCTCAAAGACCTATTTTCTACTTATTTTACAGGCAGATTTAAGTTGAACGTATGCATCCAAATTAGACCTTCTGAATGATCCAAATGATTGTTGTAAAACTTTGTATGCCCCAATGAAAAAAATGAATAACAACAGTCAAAATGACCAACTGTCAAGAACAGAGTTATAACTCCTAATCCCAAAAAGTAAATTTTGGTTTTCTGAGTAAGGAAAATGATCTGCTCCATTTTAAAATCAGAAAAGACAGTCTCAAAAACAATTACTTATACCCAGAAATAACAATAAATACATGCAAACTCATTCATGGAAAACAATTTCTAAAAAAAATTACAACGGCTAGAAGAGAACTAAAATGTCCACCATACAATGCTATGAGATGTTACGACATGCAAATGAAATTTTGCAAAAGTTACAGTGCTCAAATTACGTAGCTAAACACAAATCTACATGTTTAAGATTTTTCTTGTTTAAAATAATTTTGGAGTGTGGTCTTGAAAAGCTCTCCTACTTTTCACCTTCATCAAATAGCATCCCAACTAAGAGAACACAACTATGATACACTTCCAGGCAAGACACCTGTTTTGATGATGCAAACCAAGGCCACAAGATCCAGATAAGGGTTGCCACTAGAGAATGCTTCAGAAATAATACATTTTCAAAGAAAACTTTTTTCTTAAAGGTAACGTTGGCACTAGTAATTGCTGATAAATTCAGCTGTTAGGCACGTTTAAAATTTTATATAAATTTTAGTAACTTAAAATTCTAAACTTATTTCCAGAGAAAAAGTTGATCCTTTCAGTCCTAGGAACAGTGGCAAGATAGCTTCCTGTTTGACACTCTTAACGCTTATTTAACCATATTTTACACCTACCGAGTGTTTCAAGCTTTAAAGTTCATCAGAGATAGTATATTATACATTACAACATGAGTACTGCAATGTTCTCTTTTTAAAGAGAAAAGCAAACAGGAGTTAAAGAACTCATCCAAGGTCACCCAACAAGTCAGCAAAGAAGTTGGGAGCAGGACTAAAACTTCAGTTCCTACACTACTAACTACCTCACACTTTCCCAATTACAAAAGAGAAAAAAAGAAATCAAGTGATTTACTTTCAGTAATAACAGCATACCTCAAACACAATAGAGTGCTTATCACAAACAGTAACCAAAAAGATGCACCTTGAACAAATGAGACAGCTTGCTACTTCTGGATACTACTGTCATGTCCCTTGTTCTTGAAACCAACGAAAAACTTACTGCTTCTGGATATATTACATCCCAGAGAATGTTCACTCTTCAGTATGTACAATTTGCCTTCACACTAACCAAATATTTATAAATTAATGTTACCACCTTTTTCCATGCCTAGGTGCTGTGGGACACATCAATTTCCTCACTCTTCCAAAAGTCAAGTCAAAGACCACATTTCTCAAAAATAAGCAGTTCTCAATGAGAACATAGTTACACAGCCAATAAAGGAAAAGCTCTAATAAGTTGCTTCTTTTGAAGAGATATTTTTAAAGGATGATTATATGCTTCACAGAATTAATGTTAAGTCGCCCGCCAACAAGAAAATGATTCTTGTAAAGTAGCTTTTAAGGCTTATGCCTCCCTGTTTGGGACATAGTCTGACTTGTTGGACAAGAATGATCTGGGCACGCTCACACAGAACCCCTAGGAACCAGCCAGCTTAGGTCACTGAAAACATCCTTTCGACCTCCCAACTGTAGTACTCAGTCTTTCGCATACTATAAGGGCCAAGATGACCCTCTTTAACAATCTCTCAGGAGAAGGTTCCCTGGCGGAGAAAGTGACAGCCGTCCTCCCGATGTTTCTGGGAAAAGTGTTAACACCAGAAAGAGAGGTTCCTAGGAAGTGTCAGTGCGGTGGAGTAGCCCTTGGTTCCGAGCAGGTCCTTTCTGACCTAGTCTCAAGTCCTCCACCTCCAGCCCAGATTCCGCCTTACAGACCTTCCCAAGCCGCCCGCGCCCCTGTTCTCTAACCCGGAGCGAGACTCCCAACTCTCCCGGGAGGCGAGGCAGTCTAAGCAGACAAGACGGCCACCCCACCTCTTCCGGGGACTCGCAGGCCCGCTCCCTGGCCGTGTCAAAGCCTGACGGACCCTGCCAGAGAGAAGGCAGCCGGCCCGTTGTGGGGCCTCCCAGACGGAACCCCGCACCCCACGGTCCCTTTCCACAGCCTCCACCCCTTCGGAACACCACCCTCCTTACTCGTGAATCCCCCTTCCTCAGGAGCACCCCAGTGGAGTTACCGGCCCACTCAAAAGTAAGAGCGACCGCCACTCCTATCGGTCACCCTGGCCCCCACTGTCACCGCCCTGCTCCCGGCCTCTGCCCACGCCGTTGGCGGGCCCCAGTGACGCCCGGGTAGGTACCTTGCGGACCCCCTTGTAGATATAGAAGTAGAGCTCCCGGCCCACATTGAAGCAGAGGCGGTCGCCGTTGCCAGACTGGTCGTTGAGGTTTACGAAGGAGACGCGGACGGGGTTGGATCCCTGCGAGTTGAAGGGCACCCGGTTGGGCCGGCTGTACTCCGAGTGCGGCAGCAGCTTGTACAGACCTTCCCGAGTGGTGAATTGGGTCTTAATCTCGTTCATCTCCTTCCCTCCTCCCTCCGTCGCCATCTTGGAAAGCAGCGTTCATCCTGCCCTAAGTGCCCGGATCACGCCCACCGCGCAGGCGCCGTCCCGGGCTCTCGCTCTCTCCCCTCCCCTCCCCCGCCTCTTCCTCCTGGCCCCTCCCACTCGCGAGTCGTCCCCGCGGAGGCCGGCCGAGGGGCAGGGGCGGGCTTGTTTACGGCCCGACTGCGCAGGCGTGCTCACCTGGCGCTCTCCGCGCGGCTGGGCGTCCGCAGGCCCCTCCCCCGGGCGCGGCCTCGGGGCGGTCCCGTGGCCGTACAGGTGAGGAAGGCTCCGGCCGGGGGTCGGGCTAGCTGTGTCGCCTCCGCCTCCGCCTCCGCCTCCGTCTCCGCCTCCCCGCCACCCCCGGGACAGAGCCGGTAAGCTGAAGCCACCGCAGGTCTGTGGTCGGGAGCGCAGAGGTGAATTCGAGCGGCCTCCTCAACTGCCTCGGCCCCGCCCTGAGGGGCCCCGGGACCCCGAGAGCGGAGGGAGAGGGCCGCCCGCCCATGCAGGGTCTGTACGTGGGGTGCCGAGAGCCGAGCACCGGAGCTTCGGCGTTCTGCCTTCGGGAGGATGCGGGGGCGCCCCGAGGCTGGGGGGGAGACCCTCCCGCAGGCCTGCCCTGGGCCAGCTGCACGACCGTCGGGGAGCCCCTCGGCGCCTCCCGGAGCCAGTTTCCGAGAGGGTACCGAGGGGCCTCAGTTTCCCGCTTCGCGGCGTTTCTTTCGGCGGGGCCGGGGGAGAGCACGCTGTACGTGTGGACACGGCGTGTGTCTTTGGAAGTCGGCTCTCTGGATGCCTGTCGGTGGCGAACATCGGCTAATGTGGAGCAAAGTAGGTTGTGTTGGCACTTGTTTCTTAAGTTTGTCTTCCCTGAGTGTTTAGAGAAAAGGGGGAGCGTCGGGTCGGGCAGTGGCTTTCGGAACCAGAGACTCAGTCGAAGCAGGAGTCACTGGTCTTGCTCAAGAGCTTGACGAGTAGAGGCCATTGATTAAAAAGAAAAAGGCTGAAGTCGGATCTGCGAGATTACTAGGCAGAGTTGTGTGCGGACACTGCTAGGTCTAGATATGGGAGGACAGGCACTATTTTATACCTGGGTTTCTTGGCTAGAATAAGAACGTTTCTAAAGCGACAGAAACTTTCTGGGAGAATTCCGGGGGGAGGTGGGCAGCCAGCATTTGTTACACCAAGAATTAACTATTTCCTTAAAATCATAGCTGGAGGGTCGCAAAATTAGCAGATGGAGTTAAGTTCTACAGTAGAGGAGCGTGAATCACAAAAGTCTTATTACAAAGCAAATAGGTACTGCCAATGATGTAATAATGCATCTGACACCAACATCCTGTATCCTTTGTTCATGTTGGCCAAAAAAAAAGCAAGATCCTACTTATTAGACTCCTAAATAGCTGAAATTTTTTGTTGTAATTGTTTTGATCTTATCTCCTTTCTCTAAAAGTCAAATAGCTATCAAAGTCTTTTAAAATGCCAGGGTGTGGGGTGCCTGGGTGGCTCAGTTGGTTAAAATGCCAGGGTGTGTACTGTGGTCGCCACTGGTATCCCAATTTCCTGTGTTATTTTACAATGAAAATGTGTATTTATAATGATCACCTTGAGGGATAGTGACATCCTGAATCGTCTAAAAATAATCCAGCTGTGTTCCCTGGTTATCAAGGGGGAATAAAGCATAATACTTTCCGGAGGAAAAAAAAAAAACTCAGCAAGCGAAAATGAAGACAAGAAATTTTATTAGCCTTCAATTAACCACAATTAACCTCAATTAACAATAATACCTGTATGCCTCAGGCTTTCTATTAAGGTTTTATTCTATATAAATTCAACATATTTTATTATCACAATAAGTCTGTCCCCTTCATCCCATTCAGAGCCTTTGAATAATCTCTATTCTTAGTATGTTTTTCTCTTGTAGTTCCCCCCACACACACTCAAGGATTCAATGAATAATACCCCAAATTTATATAACAGGGACTGACCTAAATGCAGTTCATTTCTTTTTCTTTTTTCTTATTAAAAGATTTTATTTATTTATTTGACAGAGAGAGAGAGAGAGAGAGAGAGACAGCAAGAGAGGGAACACAAGCAGGGGGAGTGGGAGAGGGAGAAGTGGGCTTCCTGCCGAGCAGGGAGCCCGATGCGGGGCTCGATCCCAGGACCCCGGGATCATGACCTGAGCCAAAGGCAGACGCTCAACCGACTGAGCCACCCAGGCGCCCCCAGTTCATTTCTAATTGTCACTGGCACGCCAGGCATTTCTGAGTGGATTGGTGCCCCACAGCCATCCATCCCCAAACCTGCTTAGTTCCGTTTTCCATTTTCTCAGACTTGAATCTTTTTTTTTTTAAAGATTTTATTTATTTTTATTTGAGAGAGAATGAGAGAGAGAGAGAGAGCACGAGAGGGAAGAGGGCCAGAGGGAGAAGCAGGCTCCCCGCTGAGCAGGGAACCCGATGCGGGACTTGATCCCGGGACTCCAGGATCATGACCTGAGCCGAAGGCAGTCGCCCAACCAACTGAGCCACCCAGGCGCCCTTGGACTTGAATCATTATATAATGGTGGCTTTGTGGATGATTTCCTTGATTTTAGTTTTTCTCTCGACTTTCCTCCTGTAAACAACTACCAAATTTTATTTTCTTAAAACAGTGCCTTAGAGGGGCGCCTGGGTGGCTCAGTCGGTTAAGCGTCTGCCTTCAGCTCAGGTCATGATCCCAGGGTCCTGGGATCCAGCCCTGTCTTGGGGAGCCTGCTTCCCCCTCTCCCTCTGCCGGCTGCTCCCCCTGCTTGTGCTCTCGCTGGCTCTCTCTCTCTCTCTCTGTCAAATAAATAAATAAAAATCTTAAAAACAACAACAGTGCCTTAGACATTACATTCTCTTATCCAAAGACTTGCAATAACCATACTGTTTAAGTCACACCAAGCAATTCACAGCCTATTCTTACTTATTACATAAATACCCCATTACAGTCAAACTGTTCTGCCGGCACCCTTATCTCCTTCTCTTGCTTAGAAAGCCCTTCATTTCCTTTCCTCTTCATACCCTGTTCTTCAAGAACTAGTCTCATCTTCACCAAGCCTTTCCAAGCCTAAAAACCATACTTGAAACCAAGGATTCTCTATTCAACATTCATGGCTGGCTACGGGGAGTGTTTGAACTCCTAGTAGTGTTAAACTTCTGTGTACATGTTCATTGTATCACTGGAGTGTGTAGCTTTCATCAGATTTTCAAGAGTCAGACACCCAACCAGCTGAGCCATCCAGGCACCCCCACACACACAAAAAAAATTTTTTAGATTAGCTCTCTAAGCTTCTGTGGCACTTCTCTCAGCTTTCATTTGTCATGTGTAATATCCTAAAACAGTATCTTCTTTTTGTATTTGTCAGCACATGCTAATTATCTTATATTGATATTTATCGTTTAGTGTATATATGCTGACTTTCAACCAGATTGTGAGCACCTTCTAGGATACGAGGGACCTTGTTAAAATTGTTTATATCCTCAAATATTTATTTGATGCCCACATGTGCCACTCTGTCCTAGCCTTTGGGATGCATCAGTAAACAAAAATCCCTCACTCAGAGTTTATATTCTTGCAAGGAGAAGACCAGATAAACAATAAAAATTGTCTAGTGATTGTGCTAGGAAAAAGTAGTAGCATGAGTAAGGGGGATTGGGAGTGCTATGGGTAGTTTGCAGTTTATGATAAGGTGGACAAGATAATTCAGCAAAGACTTAAAAAAGGTGAGGGAGCGGGCCATGGGAAGATCTGGGGAAAGCCATGCAGAACTCCCAAAGCAGGAGTGTACCTAGCATGTTGAAGAAATAGCAAGACCGGGGCACCTGGGGGGCTCAGTCTGTTGAGCGTCTGACTTCGGTTTAGGTCATGATCTCGGAGTTCTGGGATCCAGCCCTGAGTCAGGCTCCCTGCTGAGCAGGGGAGTCTGCTTCTCCCTGTGCCCCCCACTCCCTGTTTTTCCCTCTCTCTCTTTCTCAAATAAAATCTTTGGGGGAAAAAAAAGTTTGGTTTGTTTATTTGAGAGAGAAGATGCACATGTGCACGCAGACATGCCCCCACAGTGACTTTATTAAAAGAAGCAGCTGGGGCCCCCTGGGTGGCTCAGTCGGTTAAGCGTCTGACTCTTGATTTTGGCTCAGGTCATGATCTCAGGGTTGTGAAGTTGAGCCCTGTCTGGCTCTACAGTGGGCTTGGAGCCTGCTTAAGATTCTCTTTCTCTCCTGCCCTCCCCCACCTTAAAAAATAAAATAAAAAAACAGAAAGAAATAGGTATACACAGGGACACCTGGGTAGCTTAGTCGGTTAAGCATCTGCCTTCGGCTCAGGTCTTGATCCCAGGGTCCTAGAAACAAGTCCTGCAATGGGCTCCTTGCTCGGCAGGGAGGCTGCTTCTCCCTCTGCCTGCCACTCCCCCTGCTTGGGCGCTTTCTTTCTTTCTCTCTGACAAATAAATAAAATCTTAAAAAAAAAAATAGGCATACACAGGTGTCTTTAGGAACCACATTTAAAAACCTTTACTGAGGGCGCCTGGGTGGCTCAGATGGTTAAGCGTCTGCCTTCGGCTCAGGTCATGATCCCAGGGTCCTGGGATCGAGTCCCACATCGGGCTCCCTGCTCCTTGGGAGCCTGCTTCTCCCTCTGCTTCTCTCTCTCTCTCTCTCTCTCTCTCTCTCTCTCTCTCTCTCCCCCTCCCTCCCTCTCCCCCCCCC